AACTCTGTTTGTGAACTATTAAATCACAAATTTCACAGAAAAGTTATATTTAAAAATCCTAATGAATTTTCTGTGAATTTTGTTGAGAAACTTGCTTTCTATTGGTTGCTGTGATATAATTCACACCAACGAACAAATCTTATTCTTTAACAACAATATTTTATATTGAAAAGTATTTTGTGTGAAAAGTTTTGCCGAAAATTTTCCATAGGCTTTCAGTTTAGATAAATCTAATACCGAATTATTAATATCAATATAAGGTTTAATAATATCAAGTCTGATTATTGTTAAATATGTGTTAAGATAATAGGACTAAAAGGTATTAATTACTAAGATTAGATTTTAAATCTTGAGAGAGAGAGAGAGAGAGAGAGAAAGAGAGAGAGAGAGAGATTATTACTTTCAATTTATATAATAATTTCTATTCCTATAAAAATGAATAGAAATCTCAGAAATCGTTATGAATACTGTAGCAACTTATAATTAGACTGCATATTTACCCAGGGATGTAGGTGGTTGTAGGCTCTCATTCATTTGAATATATTTTCAATGATTAGTGCCTAAAGAAAATCTATTTCTAAATCTTTATACAAATAATTATAACCAAAATTATAGAACAATTACTTTAGGCATAAAATATATGTAATAAGAAATATGTTTAGCACCACTATATGAATAAATAATTACCAGAATGAAATAAAGTAGGAAATTGAGTAAAATCCATTGTTTGACATGGGTTATAATTGATTTGAATGTTTATTTTTAAACATAAAATTATGAAATGAATTTATAAAATAAAAATCAATTTGATATCGCATTGAATATTCTAAAGGCGTAACTGTGTTGAGCATCGGATACACCATATAGTGTTCAGTATTATTAATACCATTACTATTACTATTATTAGTTAATTAATGAAATCCAACACAAAATAAGTTGCTAAATTCATATCTCAAAGCATTATTAACTTACTCCCAGTCAAACCACAAATATTTTAACTAACTTTGTGCTTAATTATTTTATTGATATTTATAGCGTTCATTCATTTTATAATATGAAACAAATTTAATTATTTTTCAATTACCTTTTAATTGTGTAATGAAATTTTGCCTAATTTTAAATGAATTTAAATCACTTTAATTATTCCGCACCATGTCATCAAATCTCTTGTAATGTAATTAATAAATAAATAGTTACTAAGAAATTTGTTAGCACTAATTAACTAGAAATCATGTTTAATCGGCCTAGAAAGTACAGGTAATAAAATTTCAGTTTTACTCCTCATGAATATTTAATAACTTTATTTTAAATTAACTTATATTTTAAAATACTTTAAAATACAGTATTTAATTCTTATACACAATAGCGATATAGTTTTTGAAATTATTCAAGCTTTTATTTCTATACTCAACATTAAATATATATTTTTAAACTGTGTAAATGGAAAAGACCTTTCAATGATAATATTTCTCAGATAGTGTAGCTTTAAAAGATAGTTATCTAAATTAAACACATTTATTAACACTTATTTTGAATACAACAGTATTCTCTACGGTGTAGAATCAGTGATGATCAAGCTCAGTATTTCTTCCACATAGAAATAAAGTTATTGTGAAGCCTTTAACTTGGAAGGTCTTATGATCCACCCTTTGGGCATCACTGGTATACAGAGTTGTCTACAATTTATAATCAATACCAACAAAAAAAATCAAAAATAAAGCTAAAAAGTAAAAGATTTGTGCCATATATGACTCGGATCTCCGTTAATGAGTGCTTTCAATATTAATAAGCGTATCACATATACTACATTTCATTAATAATTAAATTACACTCAAAATTAAAGCTCACACTACAGTACAGTGCCATTTGTGTATCAAAAAGAGATAATTAGTTATGAAAAATTGATGATAACTCTTGAACTTTTAAGACTAATATTTTATGAAATATAAAATCAAGAAAAGATTGACACCAAATGTGATAGAAACCAGACTGCATTCTTGACATTCAATTTTTAATAGTATTTTATTTTATTGATTTATTTTATAGTATAGTTTATTATTGTTTAAACTTTTGTTGAATAGAAATAGTGGTAAATGTATTCCTCATGTTTGACATCGATTCATACAAAAGTTTAGTTGACATCAATGAAAACAAGACATTCATAACGCGCTTAACTTCTCATTTAAATTCAGTCATTATTTAACACTTATTTGAATATTTTTTACCATTTCTTAAACCTTGATAAAGATCTCAGTGTAGATCAAAACGTTCGGCTTATCTGTTATTTTTTGATACCTTTCACGGATTAATAAAATAAGTTATTGAAACAAAACCTTAATTATAGTTTATTATTATTTGATTTATTGAATAATTTATAGCGTGTAATGTATACTTTAATTTTTATGTAAAAAAATCACACATAAATTACAAAATAACAAAGAATTTTATTCGTTTTATATTACATTTTGTCGACTAGTTAAATAAAACATAAATTATATCAGTATAACAATAATTGAATAAATAACTATAATAAATATTAACATAAATAAATAAATCGCTACACATCATATATGGTGAATGAAATAAAAATGATCAAAAATTTAAAATTTATATTACAATAAATTAGATGTCTATCAAATGGCTCTTAAGATAACGAATTGAGTGAAACTTTAAAGAAACGAGAAAATAAAATACGAATTGAAATAATGAAAGATTTGTTGTGCCTTTCGAAGAGATCTTTTGTGAAGTGAAATGAATGCAGAATTTATACTTAGATTTCAATTCTTCTTGCAGTGAAAACAGGAACAAGTTTTCGCTGATTTGAACACTAAATCTCGCGGTCCTTCCAAACACATCACACGAACTTTCACCTAAAGGGCCACCAAATGCGTCAAACATTTGAATGAGAAAAAAGTTATTTTTGTTATTAATACACACAACGAGTTTTATTTGATTACATAAATAAATCTTATATGAATAAGTTGGAAAATATATTCATTACAGTAATATCTAGATGAAAGGATGGGAGGGAGTGAGAGGGAAATCCATGTTTTAAAATATCCTAGTGCTTTGTTATTCATGTATATATAACTAAAACAATATTGTACTATTTGTACAGCGAATACAGCCAAATACAAGACTTTGTCAATATTTNATCAAAAATTTAAAATTTATATTACAATAAATTAGATGTCTATCAAATGGCTCTTAAGATAACGAAATTGAGTGACATTTTAAAGAAACGAGAAAATAAAACACGAATTGAAATAATGAAAGATTTGTTGTGCCTTTCGAAGAGATCTTTTGTGAAGTGAAATGAATGCAGAATTTATACTTAGATTTCAATTCTTCTTGCAGTGAAAACAGGAACAAGTTTTCGCTGATTTGAACACTAAATCTCGCGGTCCTTCCAAACACATCACACGAACTTTCACCTAAAGGGCCACCAAATGCGTCAAACATTTGAATGAGAAAAGAGTTATTTTTGTTATTAATACACACAACGAGTTTTATTTGATTACATAAATAAATCTTATATGAATAAGTTGAAAAATATATTCATTACAGTAATATCTGGATGAAAGGATGGGAGGGAGTGAGAGGGAAATCCATGTTTTAAAATATCCTAGTGCTTTGTTATTCATGTATATATAACTAAAACAATATTGTACTATTTGTACAGCGAATACAGCCAAATACAAGACTTTGTCAATATTTCCCACAACTTTATAGAATATTATGCTTATAATTAGTAATAATGACGTTAATATTGACATAACATTATCTAAATTTAGGTATATTTACATAATTTCTCATGAATTTAATTATAGTTTAAAATAAATTTTAAATTGAATTCTTTATCTCCTACTTTAAAAAATTTAACTAGAATATTAAATATTATAAAAATTGTTTGAAAGTATATTTTTAGGCAAATATAAATCACGTTAATTAGTATATAGTTGTGGTCTAAATGAGAAGATTAAGACATAATAATGAAGTGATAGGACTGGGAATGAATGGCACAAAGAATGGAGTCATTGATTAAGTTGTAATATTATGACAGAAATAAATGGATTAATGGATTCTTTGTGCTTTTTCATAGACAGTGTGTATCGTATACCTAAAATAAGTGAAATACTTAATACACTGTAAAATTATCGGAAAACGATAATAAGAGTCTATTTATGCAAAAATTCAATTCTCATTAGACATTAGCTAATCGTTAAATCAAATACATAAATGGGCGGAAAGTTATGAAACTAAATACCCATCATATGAGTGCACCCACTCTGATAACAAAGAAAAGAAAGGATATATTTTTAGACTGGATTTTCCTCTAAAGACCTTTTGGACTATAAAAGAAGCGACTGATCAATGATTTCATATCTCGTTTGAAGACAAACTTTATTTATATTACGCTCACAATAAATATCACATGAATATAAAGTAAAGTTTAAACACGTTTTCTTAAAAAGAAATCCTAATATTAAATTGAAAATATCACTTCATAACAGTTGTATTTTCTATAAATATCTTATGAATAAATGTTTGAATAATTTGTGACATAAATTTATATTTTTACTTTTTTAAAATAAACATTTGGATAAAAATACTGTTTTTAATTTAGAAGCTTTTTTATGAAAGTTATTTGCAATTTATTGTAAATATTAGTATAAGATTGAAAATATTCTGTCATTCGAGTCGCTATTCTATGGCATAGAATTTAAAGAGGATTTAAAGATTGAATTTATTTTTGTAAAATAAACTGTAAAATCACTAAAATGGACGCATTCATGGAGATTGTCATGACTTAAGACATTTAATGGACAACAAACTCGATGAATCAAGTGATGGTATACAGAGTATAACAGGAATATGAAGTCTAGTCTATTATTCTGTGCCAAACCTCGTATCGAAAGAAATCCGGTTTTTTCAGATATGAGAATACCGATATTTAAACTTCTAATTTATTTTAATATCCTTTACAGTCAAGGTAACCTGTTTGCAAATTGAAATTTGAGTAAATCTCTTCATCTGGGATTTCAATAAGAGTTTATAAAACTCATTAAACCACATTTTAATGGTAACTAAATTGTAGAAATGGTTGGACAGCATGTTATTTAGTGGTCACTTACATCTTCAGTCTCCATAATGTTACAGCACTGGCCCACAGAAGTCAAGAGTTGGTTGGGATTGACCCTCAGAGTGGCCTCATTGGAGGGAATGGAGAACGAGACACAATATCCTCGGCAGGCGTTTGTCGTAATGTCGAACTCAACGCAATCCGGAATACTTATCCTCTGTGTATGGCCTATGAATAAGTCATTATATTATCAGATGTCTGTCCTGTATATCAATCCAAACACTAATGAATGCTTTTATATTTTTTTATAAATCTAAATTCACTTTATTTCATGTGTTTTATGATAAACTATATTCTGAGCAATTTTTAGAGAATACTTGTTTTGGAATTTTCAAATAAATGCTTTTTTGTTGAAACAAAATGTTAATACTTTATGATATTAGTTAGTGTTTGAAAGATTGCAGAATATGTTACAGTTTTAAGGAATTTAATAAAACTTATGTTATCATCGTTTATACGATTCAACAGAATGTTCACTTATAGTAAACAAAAAAATATAGTATAATATTTTGTAAAAAAATATTGTGACAGAATTGCAATTGAATCCGAGAACTCAAACTTAAAATTAAATGAAGTAGTTGTCAAGCCTTAAGTCTTGTTGTGATTGACAACATTTATGAGCTTTTGTTGCCATTTCTACTGAATTTTGACGGGAATCCTAAATATTTGATTAAATGAAAACTACACTTAACTTGGATATTTGTTTTTACGCTTGAAATTTACAAAAATTTTTAATTTAGAGCTTAAAATTTATGTGATTTTAATCTTTTATGCAATAATATCAAAATCTATGTGCAATATTTACATTATAAACACTTTTAATGCATTAATTCACTATAAATTTCATTGGAAATGATAAAAGAATGTGTTTCTAACCGACTTTATGACAGCCAGGTTTTTGCCACGAATGACACTCCACTCGATTCAGTTGAGTCAACAAATATATTAATACAAACCCAATGCCTGAGAATCGAAATAATGCCATCAAATACATCACGGAATCTATTCATGAATTAATTATAAAAATTATTAAAATTGATATTCTGTGCAAAATTATTTTTTCTAAAAATAACGATAAACTATAATTTTAGTCTATATTTATTTAATTGAGGCTTTTATATATTGAACTTTTATATTAATTTTTAAAATATTATTTTCTAACTTAAATTAATTATATTAAACGCTAGACTAATTTAAATAAATAAATTCTTTCTTAAAGTTTTTAGTGCAGTTCAAGCACATATTGAAATTTTAATTGTTTTTAGCGTTTACTATCATACATGTAAGCATAGAAATAATACCCCAAATAAAATCTAAAACACGAAACAATACATAAGAATAACAATTTATACGGGTTTTCATAGTAAACGTTATGCTTATAACAGGCATTCAAACTACAAGTGTAATTGGTATTTTCGTAACATTTTATTATTAGAAACAAAAGGCAATTAATATGGTCATAAAAATAATTTTATTCAAAATTTACTGCTAAACGGTATTTAAATTGTTGGATACTTATTTTATTTTTATTTCCATTACTATTATTAACAAAACCGAAAAATTATTCAATTATTCAAAGTTTATTGACTATAAAAATAATGTAACGATACGTAATCTCCATGTATAGTTATAAATAAAGTTCATTAAAAGTCAGGATATATTAATATACTGTATCATGTTTATCATGGTTATCTAAGCAACTGTATTATTACAATCGGAATATTTTTAAATATATTTTATTCATTTTCATAATTTTACACTTATTGTCAACAATTACTGGTAATGATTTGTATTAATATATCATAAATTTAGATTATGACTAGACTAGCAAAAGTAGACAAACTCTTTTTTATTACAGTTTTCAAGATTAATTACAATTACAACTTATTATAATTTGGTAGTGTCTATACAGTATCTTACAAGTAAACAATTTTGTGAAAGATTAAAGTTATAAATAAACTTTTATACTGTACCATTATTATTGGTTTTCACTGCTATTACAAAAGTGATCATACAAATAAATAAAATAATAAAAAACCAATTTTTAAAAATTATCCTTTTAGTTTATCGAATTTTTAAATATTCACAAGGTGAAAACAGTAACTTATGTGTTTCATAAAAATCCTAAAAACGATTTTGATAACATTTAACAGGCTTTATCTATATTATAATCATCCTGACAATAAGAAATAAACCCAAAATGAATTATATTTAATGAGAAATTAATATAATTTATTCAGATTTGAAGACTTGTTTTAAATAACAAATAAATGATTAAATAAATAAAAATGTGGTCCAAATTTTAATCCAAATCCTATCTACTAATCGGATAATATTTAATATATGAAGTAGAAAATCAAACCAATTTAATTCTCGATAACTCTATATATTTACAATATTCTGGTTTATTCTGTATATTCTTTAAGCTTTAGATTAATGTGAGACTAAATATAGTTGAAAACATTATATTTATACGATATAATATGAATATACTTTTAATACTCATACCTAATTCAGAATTCAGTTAATATAAACACATTTGTTTTGATTAGTCTATTAATTATAATTACCTTTTAATGAATCGATTGCATAAAACATTTGAATATAGAGATACAAATGAATGTGAAATATAATAAAACGCCTGTTATTTCTCCACAATTTACACAATATTTTAAGAAATATGAATAATTGAGTGTTTAATTAAGATTTTAAAGACGTTTTGTTATTAAAAATTCAGACAATTATTATAATAAAATTAGTTTAATGCAAACGAAAGGCTGTGTCACAAAATTAGTTATTCTAATGGGAGACTATATTTTGAGGCATCAATTAAACGAATACGTGATAAACATTGCATATGATATATCTGACACCTTTTATAACAATTCAATTTCATATGAGTTTTTATAGTATTTCATTTTCATTCACCAATTCTCTCTCTCTCTCTCTCTCTCTCTCTCTCTCTCGCTATAGTAATAGCTAATCCCAATTAAAACAGTTTTTGAGAGAGAATTGGTTTGTGTGTTGAACTACTAATGAAGTTATTAGATATCTGTTCGCCTACGCCTACATTCACTTTACGTGAAATACATTTGCAATTAATTCTTCAATTATTTTCATTTCGATTTAAATAAGAATTATTACAATTAATTCACATTTTCATTATATTCTTAGTTATATGAAATCTTTCTTTATAAATGTATATTTAAAAATTTTATTAAAATTATGATTAAAATGATGATACTCTATAGTAAATAATAATATACTTTTTGAAGTTATTGTAATTCTTTGATTAGTGATAACAAAAGTGAAGTAAATTTGTAGATTTACTCATCCATGTGCTAACAAATGGAGATATCATTTCATTTTGTGCAGTAAAGCCTTTATTTGAAAAACTTGAAATATGTCAAGCGTATAGATATGGTTAAGGGTCAGACAAACAGTATGTATATCACATAGAAAAAGAATTTTATAATTTGTAAACCAGAGATAAACTGTATGAATGCGAACGCACTTATTGACTGACCCCATACCCCATATAATTTAATTTAGATATCATTGTCTTATTGTGTGTTAATTCTGACTCCAATTGTTTGCCATCCTTTCAAATATAATCAACAAATTCTTGTTTAATAAATTCCAAACACTTTGGAAGTGATTATTGTTTTTATAGACAATGAATGCCTAGGAATCCAATGAAATGACAAAATCATTTCATCCAACACTTTTTTGTTTGTGTGCGTGAGTACGGGAGTACCAGGCAATGTAGGGCTCATTTATCACAAACAATACAACAATTATTGCATTAATAATAGAATTAAAAAAGTGCTCATAGAATGGGAAGAAAAGTAAAGTTTATTAGAGAAATACACTCCAAATAAGACTCGGATTTCGCGATTACAGAGAAAAAAGTCTATTAGAGATGAATCGCACGGAGAAAGTGTTGTTCATTACTATAACTGTCAAAATGTATGTAAGAATTTGAGCATTCTTTATAACCCGGAGGATTTTATTTGACGATACGATTAATCACCAGTATTTATATATTTTCCACGAGATATCTGTGTCTGTTATGCCTTAAAATAAGCAGTAAGTTATTTAGAGATGGAGTGGATTACAGATACAACAAAACAATATAATTTCCAGTTATTTATCACTTTCGATGCCATTGCTTATTGTGGTGTGTTTAGTTGCTAGCTCCAAATATTTTGTTTTGTCACTCTATAAGTTAGATATCGTATCGAGAATCAAATCATTTTCATCTAACTTTGTAATCATGAATGAATTATTTATAAAATAAAATATTAAACAATTTTGAGTAGTAATTTTAAATTTACTTTTTTAATGTTCACTCAACTAATCTATTTTGATTAAATAATTTACAGTTTTATGAACTCCCTTTTCGTTTACTTTCGTCACTGTTTTTTAAATAAAAAATGATTTATTATTGAATGAAAATATCAAAAAACCGTATATAAGTATTAGGTTTCAAACATTAATCATTAGTTTTGTAGTAAATTTGTCTGAAAAACGATAAATATATTTGCGATGAACTAAGTGGGATGGTACTGGTAAAAATAGTTTATTAGATTTCATAAAATTTCAAGAATTTATTTTATAACTGATATATAATATACTATAATATAATTTCTTTTTAATACAAGTGTCAAAAACTCATTGATTATTAAATTTATAGTTATATCTGTATTTTATTACGCTAAAGTTCACATAACCGTTCACAATATTATTATCTATAAATAAAATATTATATAAAATGATTATTATTGTATAAAAATATATTATTGTATATTACTATATTATTATATAGTATTTGTAGTATTTTATATATTTGATTTTTCCGTAAAACAATGCATTAGTGAACAAAAGAATTATAACTATAATAAAGCACTTGTTTATTTGCAAGAAGTTGTGTTAAAGTAAATATTAAACATTTTATTTGTATTCCTTTGTGTGTAAAAAAAAGTTTTCTAGAATGAAATAAAACATAAGTTAAGTGTATTGTTTTTTGAGTTATTATAATAATATAGACTAATATTTATGTTTCATTGTAATATTCTCGATATAAAATTCATTTTTTCACTGTTAGTATGAATCTAAATACACATTTACGTAATTAGTTACCAAATATATATTAAAATTAACTAAAATAATAAATAATAATTTAGTTTAATGTGAAACGATGCTAATACCAAGGTTAACCTTATTGGTATAGGTGATGAGCAAAAATATCTCATAAGTATTAAGACATATTCCTACACAAAATACTGAACGCATCCATTAGTAACTCTAATAATAAGTTTCAATAACCACAAGAATATTGTAAATATAAGAGCCCTTCCCTTTCAGCCCAACACATCCCCCGCTCTAATCTCTTATAATCTCTTGGTTTCTGTGAGTTTCCATTTACTATACACTCAAATACTATTCATGTCTAATGATACTGGTCAATTCAATGTATCCCAAGGTATCCAATCATTCATATATTTTTTTATATAGATTATTTCTTTAAAGCAGACTCCTTGGAGCCTAATTCTTACACGTTTTTAATATCCTTCATATGTATGGCTCACAAATATAATACACATTAGTGTGGGTGAGAGATATCAAATATTAACTTCAAATTATAAACTGTAATATTGAAATAAAGTATTAAATATACTATTTTTATGTTTAAAATATTCATTTACTCATAGAAAAATATCTCTGATTAAATTCAATAAGTTGAATGGTGATTATTTTTATACTCTGATTCTATGCAATATAGAAATTTCACAATATTCACATTTATAGGTGACAGTGAATATAATAATGATATTTGTGTTTCTAAAGAGCTTATCTACTGATAATCTTTATGAATTAAATAAATTATGGGCTACATATTTTTTGTTTTTTATACATTTTGAGGTCTCTGCTTTAAAGTGTATTTTGTTAATTTAATAATATTTTAATACTAACGACCTTTTTATCTACATGGGGATGTATAGTGTTTAAGTGAAATGTTTAAACAAATCCAAAGTTTATAAGTATAGAATAGATCACAACTTATAGTCATGTAAGATATAAAAATTATTGTTTAATTAAACAATTAAAATCTAATGTTTTGATATGAGCATTTCGTATAATATTAGATAATTAATATCTTATTAACAGTTTTATCAAAACAGTCTATGAAATGCTAATGAATCTTCAATTGAAATAAATGTAAATAAAATACTTAACCTTGTTTGTGAACTATTCTTATGATTTTCATAAATCACAAATTTCACAGAAAAGTTATATTTAAAAATCCTAATGAATTTTCTGTGAATTTTGTTGAGAAACTTGCTTTCTATTGGTTGCTGTGATATAATTTACACCAACGAACAAACCTTATTCTTTAACAATATTTTATATTGAAAAGTATTTTGTGTGAAAAGTTTTGCCGAAAAATTTCCATAGGCTTTCAGTTTAGATAAATCTAATACCGAATTATTAATATCAATATAAGGTTTAATAATATCAAGTCTGATTATTGTTAAATGTGTGTTAAGATAATAGGACTAAAAGGTATTAATTACTAAGATTAGATTTTAAATCTTGAGAGAGAGAGAGAGAGAGAGAGAGAGAGATGATAAGATGATAACTTAACTTTTAACGCGTCAATGATGTGACAGAGATGTTGAGCTCTTGTAAGACATTTATGACTGCAGTGACCGTCGTAGAGAGAGAGAGAGAGAGAGAGAGAGATTATTACTTTCAATTTATATAATAATTTATATTCCTATAAAAATGAATAGAAATCTCAGAAATCGTTATGAATACTGTAGCAACTTATAATTAGATTGCATATTTACCCAGGGATGTAGGTGGTCGTAGGTTCTCATTCATTTGAATATATTTTCAATGATTAGTGCCTAAAGAAACTCTATCTCTAAATCTTTATACAAATAATTATAACCAAAATTATAGAACAATTACTTTAGGCATAAAATATATGTAATAAGAAATATGTTTAGCACCACTATATGAATAAATAATTACTAGAATGAAATAAAGTAGGAAATTCTGTAAAATCCATTGTTTGACATGGGTTATAATTGATTTGAATGTTTATTTTTAAACATAAAATTATGAAATGAATTTATAAAATAAAAATCAATTTGATATCGCATTTAATATTCGTAAGGCAGTATTATTAATACCATTACTATTACTATTATTAGTTAATTAATGAAATCCAACACAAAATAAGTTGCAATTCATATCTCAAAGCATTATTAACTTACTCGCAGTGAAACCACAAATATTTTAACTAACTTTGTGCTTAATTATTTTATTGATATTTATAGCGTTCATTAATTTTATAATATGAAACAAATTTAATTATTTTTCAATTAACTTTTAATTGTGTAATGAAATTTTGCCTAGTTTTAAATGAACTTAAATCACTTTAATTATTCCGCACCATGTCATCAAATCTCTTGTAATGTAATTAATAAATAAATAGTTACTAAGAAATTTGTTAGCACTAATTAACTAGAAATCATGTCTAATCAGCCTAGAAAGTACAGGTAATAAAATTTCAGTTTTACTGCTCATGAATATTTAATAACTTTATTTTAAATTAACTTATATTTTAAAATACTTTTTAAATATTTCATTCATATACACAATAGCGATATGGTTTTTGAAATTATTCAAGCTTTTATTTCTATACTCAACATTAAATCTATATTTTTGAACTGTGTAAATGAAAATGATCTTTCAATGATAATATTTCTCAGATAGTGTAGCTTTAAAAGCTAAAAGCTATAGTGTAGCTAAACACATTTACTAACACTTATTTTGAATACAACAGTATTCTCTACGGTATAGAATCAGTGATGATCAAGCTCAGTTTTTCTTCCACATAGAAATAAAGTTATTGTGAAACCTTTAATTTGGAAGGTCTTACGACTCACCCTGGGCATCACTGGTATACAGAGTAGTCTACAATTTATAATCAATACCAAGAAAAAAAATCAAAAATAAAGCTAAAAAGTAAAAGATTTGTGCGATATATGACTCGGATCTCCGTTAATGAGTGCTTTCAATATTAATAAGCGTATCACATATACTACATTTCATTAATAATTAAATTACACTCAAAATTAAAGCTCACACTACAGTACAGTGCCATTTGTTCCATCCCACTTAGTTCATCGCAAATATATTTATCGTTTTTCAGACAAATTTACTACAAAACTAATGATTAATGTTTGAAACCTAATACTTATATACGGTTTTTTGATATTTTCATTCAATAATAAATCATTTTATTTAAAAAACAGTGACGAAAGTAAACGAGTTCATAAAACTGTAAATTATTTAATCAAAATAGATTAGTTGAGTGAACATTAAAAAAGTAAATTTAAAATTACTACTCAAAATTGTTGAATATTTTATTTTATAAATAATTCATTCATGATTACAAAGTTAGATGAAAATGATTTGATTCTCGATACGATATCTAACTTATAGAGTGACAAAAAAAAATATTTGGAGCTAGCAACTAAACACACCACAATAAGCAATGGCATCGAAAGTCATAAATAACTGGAAATTATATTGTTTTGTTGTATCTGTAATCCACTCCATCTCTAAATAACTTACTGCTTATTTTAAGGCATAACAGACACAGATATCTCGTGGAAAATATATAAATACTGGTGATTAATCGTATCGTCAAATAAAATCCTCCGGGTTATAAAGAATGCTCAAATTCTTACATACATTTTGACAGTTATAGTAATGAACAACACTTTCTCCGTGCGATTCATCTCTAATAGACTTTTT